GGTTTGGAGAAAGAGTTGTTTATTATTTTTTATATGGTCAGTAAAACTCCTGCCAATATATGGGACCCAGCCATAACCGTGTCTGCAATAGTAACAGTGAATCAAACCAACCGAATTTGAGAAATACTAGAAAAACTTACAAACGTAGAAACCACCGCCCCATTATGCTTCAACGGCCACTAGAAAAACTTACAAACGTAGAAACCGTTTTTAATACAAATCAACAATATCCAGAAGCACGAACCATTACCCGCACCTTCGGTACGTCATGCAGGCATAAAATCTATCAGTATTGTCATCCACATTTATCTCTCTAGCAACTCTTTGTATGTACTATCAATCATTCTAATCCCTCGCTCTCTTCAATCAAACAAAGCGGAATGCTCGGTACGGGAAAAGGTCTAGGAGTGGGTGATGATGTTGGGAATTAAAATCTTCTCATCTCTTCTTTTGCATTGATCCTAAGCACCAAATCCATTGCCTCCTCTAATTTTGTCTAGAGGAGAGAGAGACCGTGTCCAAGGTGGATTACGGTCATCTTCTCAACACTTGAATTCTTTTTATTAAACGTCTGACTTATTCTGTATCGCGTTTGTGGAATGACAGGCACTTAGGAGATGGGGGCATAGATGGAAGAAAACAGGGAAGGAAACACAGTTGGCTTACCAACAAGTAGCAAAATGCGTCGAAATTGGGTTACTATGCCAGGAAATTGACCCATCCAAACGGCCTTATATATGGCAAATGATACATGATATAAGAGAAATTGATGGTCCTAATGAAAAAACCAGCAATGCATATGAACAGGTTAGCTCGTATGCTCCCGGGCCTTATTACTTAATTTTGGACTACTTACCTTCTTTCTTTGTTTCTTCGCACACACACACACACATAATATGTACTCCCGCTCTTTATTGCAGATAAGCCCTTACAAGGAATATGATATGCTTGGAATTGAGCCACTTGAACTACATTTTCCATTTGAGCTTAACAAACTGATGTCTTGTACACTTTTGCTAACCAATGAGACAGACTCTTACATTGCCTTCAACATTGAAAATACGAGCCCCCTTTCATACTGCACACAGCCACAGAAAGCCATTGTGCCGCCACAATCAAAGTGTAATGTCCACATAACATTGCAGCTGCAGGGCAAGTCACCAGGATATATGCATCGTGCCAATGAATTTATTGTATGGAGCACCAAAGTGAAAGATTGCCTTGCAGTTGAGGATATAACTAGAAACATGTTCATTAATGAGGCGGTCAACGTGGTTGATGAGGTGAATTTGGATGTTGATTTTGACGCCAGTGAGCTACAAGAAGCAAGTAAGAAATTCAGTGAGGTGAGTTGTCTAAGAATACTAACTTGCAAAGCTGTGTCTATCCAATTAGTATCCACTGGAAATGATCTTTTATTGTAGTCAGAGTGCCTAATTTGTGAACATTCAGACCAAAATATATTTACTTACTATTTGTAGTAAAAACTGGGGAGAGATCGCTTTGGTCAACAAATAAAAGATGTCCAAACCAAATTGATTTTAAATTTATTTTAATACTACAATATAATCGGTAGATTAGATTGGCTTGCACATCTTTTTATCTTCATGATGTATTAATTCAGTATTAGAAAAATACTGTAGACAACTCAGATTTTCGTTTGTTGACAAGTCTCACTAGTTTTGTGTGTGTTTGTGTGTGTGTCTGCGCACGCATCTAGAGATGATACAACTACCGCGACAGAGGTGAGATCACTAAACTAAGAAATAAAACTTATTTGTGAAAGCTATTTCCAGTTAATTATCAGCTAATACAAATGAAACTAGAAATAATGGTGCAAGTAAGAGTGACAATATGTCAGAAATTTAATGAAGACAAATGTCAGGGCAGCGACGGCATTTGAGGTCTGAGGCTGGTTGTAATGGGGAGTATCATATACTAGTATCATGCATATAATATTAGCGTATGATACTACCTTTCTAATTCATATTATCATATATTAGTATCATGCATGACACAAAGTAGCATATCATTTAATATGATACGGTATCATGATATGATACTACATCCTCTCTTTCTTCATTTAATGCTATGACATCTTAGGCTGGTCACAATGGGTAAGAACATAAGCTAGTAACTTCACAATTCCCTAGACTATGTTACTACCTCCATAGTGGGTAGGAACATCTATGTAGTGTCATGCAACGATGTATTTATTAGGTTATAGACTCATTGTTTCTTGGAGTGTGTGATGTTCCGGTAACTTAGCTAGTTATCACAAGCACCTCTCTCTTCATTAAATACGTGCCACATAAGCAAAGTTGTATTGGAGTGTGTGATGTTACTCCTAAGTTTCTCCCCACTGTGACCAGCCTTATCAAAATTGCCGAGTTGGCATGCATGATACTAGTTATGATACTACCATTACGACCAGCCTGATATTATGAGTAAAGTTATTTTTCGCTCGGCGAGGATAACTATAGTTGTGCATGCAATTATTGTTGCGCATCGGATGCATAGGGTGGGGCCCCAAGCAAATGTGAAACCTCTAGTTGCGTGTGCAATGGTGGTTGCATGTGGGACCAGGAGGGTGGGAGCGCATGCAAAAATATAATAAGAGTAAAATAGGAGGAAAATTGTGTGCAACTGTAATTACGTCATGTAAAAATCAATATTACCTTTGTATTTAGATTGTTCTAGACACGGATGTTTCTCGCATTAAAATGTGTCTAGATAAATTCATGTGTCAGCACTCCCAGAGTGCCAAAGCGGCGAACACACACGCGAGAGAGTGGAGCTTGAGGTAGACAAAGAACACAAGTGGTTTGCGCTGTAAAACTTCACATCTTTTCTGCTTCTATTTATTGAGAGTTACACAAGGAAACTCGGGATCGTGGCCCTTGACTTCGCGCCCCGCGTGATCCACAACGCTCGTGCCATCCCACGAACAGATCGACGAGGCACGAGACTCGCTCCAAGATGTTGAACCCGCGAGCTAAACTAGCTAACAGAAAAACTGAACGGGAAGAACTAGTCTGACAGAAAACAAACTAACTGAACTTCGACAGGGCTTGGGGTTTTTATTTCAACAAATCACCCCCTAAAACCTAAGCCCTTGTCAATTTCTACCATGCCGATCCTTGCACGCAGCTCCGTGAAGCGCACGCGCCCGAGAGGCTTGGTGAGAAGATCGCCGAGCTGTCCGTCTGTCCCGATGTACTCCTCCACTTGCTTGTTCTCCATGCATTCCCTAATGAAGTGGAAGCGGACGTCAATGTGTTTGCTCCGTTCATGGAACACTGGATTCTTCGTGAGGGAGATGCCTGATTTGTTGTCCATCCAGAGCGGGAAGCAAGCTGGCCTCTCCTTCTTGAGCTCGCTGAGAAAACGATCCAGCCAAACTCCTTGGCATGTTGTCGTCATGGTGCTGATGTACTCGGCCTCGCAGGACGACATGGCCACGACTTTCTGCTTGAGAGACTGCCAGCTGATGATGCAGTTGCCGTAGAAGAACATGGCGTCGGTCGTGCTTCGTCGTGTGTCGACGTCTCCTCCCATGTCACTGTCACTGTTGCTAGCGAGGTGGCCATATCCTTTCCCTCTTGGGTAGAAGCAGCCCCAATGCAGTGTGCCAGCGATGTAGCGCAGGATCTTCCTCACCGCAGCCAGGTGCTCGATGGTGGGCGCCTACATGAAGCGCGAGACGTAGCCGACAACGAAGGCGATATCTGGCCTGGTATGAACCAGATAGCGCAGACATCCGACCAGGTCGCGGTACTCCGTCGCGTCTGTTAGAGGCGCGGTGCTCTGCTTGCTGAGCTTCAGCCTGGGCTCCATGGGCACCGTGCACGGGTTGCACCCCGTCATGCCGCCACGCTCGAGGATCTTCTCAGTGTATGTCGTCTGGTTCAGAGAAGTACCAATCGGCGTCCGGTGCACCTCGATCCCTAAGTAGAAACTTAGGAGACCGAGCTCGCTCATCTTGAAGAGCTTCATCATCTCCGCCTTGAACCGCGTGATCTCCCCGTCTTCGTTGTCGGTGATGACCAGATCATTGACGTACACCCCCACAAGGAGGCGAGACGAGGCGTTGCCATACCCGTAGATGGCGTGCTCGGTGGTGCTGCGCTCGAAGCCAAGCGAGGCGAGGCATGCATCCAGCTTCTGGTTCCAGGCGCACGGTGCCTGCTTCAGACCGTATAGGGCCTTATCAAGACGTAGTACCTTGCTCTCTTTTTCGGCGGCGACGTACCCAAGTGGTTGGACCATGTAGAACTCCTCCTAGAGCTCCCCGTTGAGGAAGGCGCTCTTCAGGTCCTGGTGATGCACGCCCCAGCCCGCGTGTGCGGCCAGAGCGAGCAAGAGGCGTACTGATTCCATGCTGGCGACGGGCGCGAACACCTCTTTGTAGTCCACGCCCTGGCGCTGCACGAAGCCCTTTGCGACGAGACAGGCCTTGTGCCGGACCACCGCGTCGTGGACATTGTGTTTTACCTTGTAGACCCATTTGAGACCAATGGGACGATGGCCGGGAGGGAGATCGGCGAGGTGCCACGTGCGATTCTCCTAGATGGACGCCGTCTCCTCGTCCATGGCGTGTCTCCAGGCTACATCTCATTGTGCTTCATCGAGAGAGGCCGGCTCCTATGCCAGCCCGAGGTGCAGCTCCTCGTTGTCGAAGACGTCGAGGTCGAGGATGTAGTCCATGGGATGCTGGTTCGGCTGCACGATGTCGTCCCGTGCGCGTGTCACCATCGGGTGCACGCCCACGTGTGGTCAGCTGGTGGCGACATGATCAGAGACGACGAGGCGCTCGCGCTGGGCGGAGACCGTGACCCTGCAGAGCTCTGATCAGGGAAGAGATCCCTCCCGCCTATGCTCGCGGGCGTGAACGGAGAGAGTGCGTCGGCGCCCGCTGCGGCTATGTCCCCACCGCCATAGGTGTGAGGGGGAGTGCCCAGCGTTGCCAGTGCGGTCTGTCGCACCCCCTCAAACACTGCGGTCGGTCCGCACTCGACGGTGAAAGTCATAGCGCCGGGAGCGTCCACACCCTGCTGCCAGTCCCAGCTTGCTCGCTCATCGAAGACGACGTCGCGCGTGACGTGCACGCGCTTGGTGGCGAGGTCATACACGCGGTAGGCCTTGCCGCTCGGCTCATACGCGACGAAGACCATGGGCTAGCTCCTGTCCGCCAGCTTCTGCAGGTGTGGGCGCATGTCCTTAACATGAGCTACGCACCCGAAGATGCGCAGGAAGTGTACGTTGGGCTTGCGGCCATGCCACGCCTCAAATGGTGTCTTCCCAACCAAGCTCCTCGTGTACGACCTATTCATCAAGAACACAACAGTGGTGACAGCCTCTCCCCAGAAGAAAGTCGGCATCCTCCTTGCCTTGAGCATGCTCCTCGCCATGCCCACGACGGTCAGGTTGCGGCGCTCAACCACTCCGTTTTGTTCTGGGGAGTAGGGCACCGTCAGGTGTGGCTGCACGCCATGGTCGGTGCAGTACTCCGCGAACGCTGTGCTTGTGAACTCTCCTCTGCGATCCGTGCGGAACATGCGCAGGGAGTGGCGCGACTCGGTCTCCCCGGCGGCCTTGAACCGGTGGATTGCCTAGGCCGCCTCGTCCTTGGAGTGCAGCAAGACGAGCCACGTGTAGCGGTTGTGGTCGTCCACTAGCAGGAGGAAGTAGCGCTTCCGGCCTGGCGTCGCCGGTGATATCGGCCCGCAGATGTCGCTGTGGACCAGCTCCAGTGGCTCCATCGCGCGGAACTTGGCGGCTTGGGGAAACGAGGCCCGCCTCTGCTTGCCTGCAAGGCACGCCTCGCAGATCTGCTCCGCGTGGACGATGAGAGGGAGCCCGGTGACCATGCTGGCGCGCGCCATCCTCTCGAGACCTTGGAAGTGAACGTGGCCGAAACTGTCGTGCCAGCGCCGTCGCACTCACTCGCGGCGAGGCACGCAGGCTTCATGATCTTGATGTGCAATATATAGAGTCGCTTGGCCATGCGGCTTACCTTGGCGAGGAGATTCTTCGTCCGATCGTGGACCGTCATGGTGCCGTGCTCCACCAGTGTCGCGCACCCGACCTCATCCAGCTGGCCGATGCTGATGCTGCTGCTCTTGAGGCAAGGAATCCAGTAGACATTGGTGAGGCTAGGTGGTGCCCGCCCGCCATGGCGAACAGCATCGTGCTGTGCCCACGTATGTCCACCAGAGACCTGTCGTCGAACTTGACCGATCCCGTCACCGACTCGTCCAGGTCCGCAAACGCTGACATGTGGCCGGTCATGTGATTCGACGCCCTAGTGTCTAGGTACCAGGCCGCATCGGTCCTGCTTCCGTTCGACGCACGCGCGCTCCTTGTTGAGGAACACCTGCGTCGCCGCGGTCGAGAGGGACGCCTGAGGCGCAGCCAGGTTCAGCTCCGGCCCTGCCGTGCTCCCCTTGTCGAGAGTGCAAGCCTTGACCATCAGAAGGCCCGGCTCCTCCTCGTCAGCCTCGGTGAGGTTTGCCTCCTCGTCGCGCTTCTTCTTATGGCATTCCCGGGCCCAGTGGCCTAGGTTGTTGTAGTAGCGGCACTTGTCAGTCTTGCGGGCGGCGCTGCTAGAAGAATTCTGGTTTCCGCGCCCGCCTCGGCCGCCTCCACGGCCGCACGAGCGTCCGCCACCACCGCCACCGCGGCGGCCTCCCCCGCCAACAACTTGGTTGCTACTGCCACTGGTTGTTCTGGCCTGGTCGATCTTCCGTTGGCGCGCCATCCACTCCTCGTGAGTGAACAGCAGGCTGCTCCCGCCTTGGGCGACCCAGTCCACCCCGTAGCGTTCCTCCGCCACTTTCAGTCGGCCGGTGAGCTCCTCAATCATGAGCTCCGATAGGTCAAGCATCGTCTCTATGGAGATGGACACCTATGCATAGCGTGGCGGGACGACCCGGAGAAACTTCTCCACGGCCCTTTTTTCCTTCATATCATCACCAAGAAGAGCTAGGTTATTCATCATACCGGTGAGCCAACGGGCAAACTCGTCGACGGTCTCCCCGTCCTTGAACTGGAGGTCGTTGAACTTGCGGCGGAGGGACTGATCCTTCGCCTTGCGCACACGGTTGACTCCAAGACGGATCGTCTTGATGGAGTCCCACGCCTCCTTCGCCGTCTCCTTCACGGCGAGCGTCGCCAACATCTTCGGCGGTACGGCCCGGAGGATTGCCTCCAGCACCTGCGGGCGTCACGGTAATCGGTGTCGTCGTCGACACACGCGCCGAACTCGATGATGGTCCACAGGCCTCTCGCCTGCAGGATTACCTTCATCAGGAGCGACCTCTCCGCGTAGTTCATCCTCATCAGGGCGGGGTAGGAGGTGGATCCAGTCGCCTCGCGGAGCGGCTGTGGCATTGCTAGCTCACGATCGGACGGCCTCCCTGAGCCGTCGCCAAGAAGGGGTGCGGGCTTGCCGCCGCCGCTGCCGGTGCCCTTCCCGTCCTTCTTCGCCTCAGCCCCAAGCTTCTCCGGCGAGGCAGAACAGGAGAGATCTGGGTTGCTGTTTCCCATGAACAAACGCGGCTCTCATGCCAATTGTCAGCACTCCCAGAGTGCCAAAGCGGCGAACACATACGCGAGAGAGTGGAGCTCGAGGTATACGAAGAACACAAGTAGTTTGCGCTGTAAAACTTCACAACTTTTCTGCTTCATTCTTGCTTCTATTTATTCAGAGTTACAGAAGGAAACTGGGGATCGTGGCCCCTGACTTCGCGCCCGCGTGATCCACGACGCTCGTGCTATCCCACGAATAGATTAACGAGGCGTGAGACTCGCTCCAGGCTGTTGAATCCACGAGCTAAACTAGCTAACAAAAAAACTGAACCGGAAGAACTAGTCTGACAGAAAATGAACTAACTGAACTTGGGCAGGGCTTGGGGTTTTCATTTCAACATCATGTCTAGATAAATATGAGTAGGGAGTAGTATATATATATATATATATATATATATATATATATATATATATATATATATATATATATATATACCTAATAATAAAGCAAATTGGGTTCTTTCGCCTGTCATGGCATTTTTTTAGAAAAGTCCCTCTATTTCAGAGAATTCAACCCGCAGTCCTATTTTAAGTTAAAACGAAGCGTTATTTTTGTATTTTACACAAAAGTTTATGTCTTTTCTTGAAATCAACCCGCGGTGCGGATTTAAGTCACACCTGAGCCGTTATTTTACATTTTTCGAAACCCCCCTGATGTTTTAGGTAATTCATCCGCGGATCATATTTAAGTCAAACCAATGCTTTTTAAAATCATCCATATCTTTTAAACCGTAACTCCGATTTGAAGATGTTATATATGAAATTTGATTAGAAAAATATGTAAAATATGAATATGAGATTATTTTTACCTGTTAAGTATTTTTAATATTATTTTGGAATATATTTGAGTCAAACCAAATGATTTTCTAAATTATCTGTATGATTTAAACCGTAACTTCGATTTTAACATATTATATATGAAATTTTATTAGAAAAATGTGTGGCATCTAAATATGATGTTAACTTTACCTGTTAAATATTTTTAGAATATTGTTATGGAAGCAAACTTATAATTTATAGCGCAAGATCCGTTTTTTTTCATACCGGCGGCAATCCGGATTGCAAATAAATACCCCACTATAACCATATACGGAAAAGAAAACATCGATAACTACACGTGTTTACCTCTGAAAAATGTCGCAAGGGAGAACTTCAGATTTCTCATTGCGAGAGTGAGAGAAAGCGAGCGAGAGAGAGAGCGGGGGAGAGAGAGAGGGAGAGGGAGGAGAGAGGGAGAGAGATGCCTTAGGATTAACCATATTCAACACACGAAGCCCACACGAGCGGACCTACACAGACTCGCACTCGTCCAACTTACCAAGTGCATGAATCTTAACGCAGATATCCAATGAATATCACGTCCACTGAGGCTTTGTTAGTTATCAGTCAACTGAGAATTAGAAAAACCGTTTATTAATAGTCAAACTTAGTATGTAGAGAAATTTATGTATATGTATTTGGTATTCAAACTGTAGACATTTTTCTCTATAAACATGGTCAAAATTTGCAAAGTTTCATTATTAAAGAAAAATCTATATGCACTACATTCTGGAATGGAGGAAGTACTATATTAGATAGAGAGTTTGTCACGAGTATTGGAATGATGCTTCTTTTGTGACGAGTTGAATTGTGTTGATGCTTTCATTTGTCTATTTTTTTTCCTGCATTGATGATGTAGCAGACAATCCCACCTTTAATATAGGTAATGGTTTCCATTTTCTTCTCCTCACCAGATCCTCCATCTTGTGGTGGTTTCTCTAGTGTTGATAGGATTTTGCTTTCTCGGATCATAGCTGGGGAGATCTACTGCGTAGATGCAAATCAGACAGAGCCGTTATAACTGCATAGAATAATATGGGCATTCGAATATTTAAACATCCTTTTCAAGCGAGTGCAGTGGATGTAATTATGCTGCATTTAATACCTTCTTAGCTTGGCTAAAATTTGAGGCTGATGGAATGCGTAATCTCCATAAGCTCAAGCTAGTTTTCAGTGCCATCCCCCGAATGGACCAACAACTTATTCCTTTTTCAAACCGTCCGCAGTTGAAACTATATCAGAAGGGTACTGCATTAATCAGCGTCGAGCATGTGCCAGATCTTAGAGAGAACTCCACAAAATTTGGTGGTGCAGCTGCTGATCTAGAGTATATCTCAGGGGTCGGCATTGGTCATAATCTTTCGAGCAATCCTATAATCGACGTGCAATTAGTGGATTCTGGTTCTCATGGTGATAAAAGGTAGTAGCAAGCTAAATGGTGGTTATCAATTTAACCCGACTTAAGTCTTCATGCTCTGACGAAGCTATCTAAATGATTATTATTGTAATCAGGATATCCTCAATATCACTGGAGTCCTCTTCACGCCTACAGGTTCTAGGTACATTTTTCTGTCAGATGGTTATAACAGAGACGTTCGCCGTGGGGTGATAAATTACTTGTAAAAATGAGAAAATTTACTTATTGGAAAAACGATCAATGTCAACTTTTTCAGGTAGAGAAAGTGGAGCGGAAGCTGGTGGAGAGCAGCAGGTTGTGGTCTCGTGGAGCAATATCATTGGTGTGATAGGTCGTGACCTCTTCATCTATTGCCTCCACCGCCTCTCCAGGTGGGAATATGGCGCCATCGCCTCCCTCAACCGTGATTTCAATTCAGTGGTTCGCAACGGGGACATCTACCGCCTGCGTCGCAAGAATGGGGTCACAGAGCACTGGCTCTACCTCTCTTGCGGTAATAATCCTACAGAGTGGGAGGCTTATGACCCGTCCACTGGGCGCTGGATCCAAGTGCCCAACATGTCTGGAATCGATTTCTGGGAGTCGCTGGCTGTAGGAACCGACCTGCTGGTGTTTGGGGACTACGGAAGGGTTGCCTGGAGATATAGCATCCTTACCAATTCATGGACATTGCTGGCGGATGACATGAACACTCCGCGGTACTGCTTTGGGTCAGCAAGTGTCGGGGAGAAGGCGTATGTCGCGGGAGGCGCTGATTCTTCTCATAGTCACTTGAGCTCCGCAGAGATGTATGACTCAGAGACACACACTTGGACACTCCTTCCCAGCATGAGTACGGCTAGGTTCGGATGCTCTGGCACGTTCATGGACGACAAGTTCTATGTGATTGGTGGTATTACCAGCAGTCTTGAGGTATTGACATGCGGTGAGGAGTATGACTTGAACCGGCAGTCATGGAGGGTCATCGACAACATGTCTCAGGGGCTCAACCATACAGATGATGGTGCTGCTCCACTCATTTCAGTTGTGAACAATGAGCTTTATGGCGCTGATTACAGTGAGAATAATGAGTTGAAGCAGTATGATAAGCTGGGCAACAAGTGGATCACTCTTGGAAAATTGCCTGTACAGTCTAAGCAAAAGGGCTGGGACATGTGTTTCCGAGCGTGTGGTGACCGACTGATTATTATTGGGCCTCCAATCCATTCTACTGTTGAAAAAGTGTTGGAGCTTCATTCATGGACCCCTGATGAGCAACCGCCTGTGTGGAATTTGATTGCCACACGGCCATACAGGGGCGACTGGATTCTGTGTGCCGTGATGGCATGCTGAGTCAGTCAACTGAATAAAGATTGGATGCAAGCAAGATATGAGTAAGTTAATTACCTTGTACTCACTTTGTATAACTTTTTCTTTATCTAGTTTCCTCCATGATTTGAATGACACAGAGTTTCGGTTCATATTTCCATGCAGTGTTGGCTGTGCCTCATTCTCAGTCTGAATTTCCTGGGAGAGCTGATGATACAAAATGAGAAGAGACGAATGAGTTCCATTGAAAGTGCCTGCAGAAACGTCCCAGTTTTAGTCACTAGCTGTTATTTCCAGTTGCAATTTGTATTCCAATAATGTTTTGACGCTTTCTACGAGATTCAGTCAGCTGTTCTGAAAATGTGTTTACTCGTAGTTTGGTATAGATTAATTTGCTATAAGAGTGTAAAATCATGATTAATTTTTCTTTCCAATTGTTTATTTTTCTTGAGTGATTTGAACAACCTGCAACCGAAAATAAGGAAAGGATGAACATGTTTTTCCTGCTTTTACTGCACTTGCAATACTCGTGTTCTGTGTGACGCTGGGATAGAAACAGGCCAGGGACAGATACCTGGTGTTATTCTATATTTGCATAACAGTGAAATTCGTTATATGGTTCAATTTGCAAAAAATGATAGATATAGCTAGTAGCCTAGTACTGATCGGCTCCTGAGTACATGCATAAAAACAATGTGTACTGATAAAGATAGTACTGACTTCTGAATACATGTAGTTCCTCCATTCAGTTACAGGATCATCTATCTGTATTAAGTTCCTGCATTTTGCAGAGTTGTCATTTTTCTATTCCTTTTGGTTTCCGATTGAATGAAACTACTGCACAACCGATCTGTGATCATATCCCGTATAAATCAACAACTTTTTATCCCTATTTCTGAACTAGAAATTGGCACATCATGTGGATGTGAGAAAGAAAGAAAAAAATGCGGACTCCTCTGCTGCAGCCACTCCATCATATTGCGAGTATCCCCACCTGAATCGAGAGCATCATGAATTATCTCTCTCTCTCTCTCTGACAGAATTTTCACCCTATTCTTACTGATAATTACAGAAAAAAAATACCTTACAATCCGAACTTCAAAATTCAAATGTAACATATCATTTCCCCGTCGTAAATAGATCACCGATCTGAGTGACATCCGAGACGTAGCTAGGGTTTTTGATGTCGTATATCGACTATCACACAGTCTTGTGTGTATTACCCTCATCCTTTTGTATAGAAAGAAACGGTAGATTGGTACCAGCCGGCATTAGTGTGAGGGGCAGGCCTCAGACCATCAGCATCTCCGTTCACCATTAATGGTCTGAAGGAGAAGGCCTCAGACCTCAAGCTAACTACAGCCAAATGTTCAGAGTCCAGAAATCAGAGCAAAAGCAGAGGAAGCTAACTACACGCAAATGTCCAGACTTCAGAAAGCAGAGCAAAGCAGAGGAAGCACAATTGCAGTTTGTATCAGTTCTTATTGTCCACTGCCTTCGACTGCTTTGACGATGCTCATTGCCTCAGCGTTTCCCTTTGTACTATCTTGTACCAAAAGTTCATAACAGTTGGTTAGCCGTTCAGGCTTCTTGAAGAAGAACAGGATCACTCTTTGCGACATGCCAAAGGCTGTTCCAACTCCACGGAGGTCAGACGATCCAACCAAACTGAAAAGAAATACACCAGTTTCACACTGCATCTCAAAATACGAGCAATTAACCTCGCTCGGGTAAGATCGATCGAGATCATGCCTGGTCGTTTCTACATCACTGTGGTCTTCTGTGTGCTTATCAATATCATGAGGCCTCTGGGTGCACTTTGTCGCCAGCGATCAAAGCGGCCTCTGCGTGCTTATCATGAGGCCTTTGGTGGATCAGTCAGTTCCTCTCCTCCAGGTTAGTTGTTCCCTCATGCAGTGGGCGCACAGACATCTGACGGGGCCTCATTCTCAAGTCTGAAGCTCCTCCGGCGCGGGATGGCTTCGCGTGCGGGGGCGCTGGCCTATGGCGGGGGCGAGCGGCGCGACGGCGATCCGTCGGGATGGCGTCGGAGGTCCCTGGTGGCGGCTCGGCGGCGTCTTGGTGGGTGCTTGCCGCGTGGCGGCTGCGGCAGGGCCAGATCGGGCGGTGGCGGGCCGGCGCGCTCCTGGCCAGATCCTCGCGGATTTGGTCCCCGGTGGCGGCGGGCGTCGCGGGGTGGCGGCGGAGGTCCTCCTGGGACCTGCGTGCAGGTGGCTTGCAGCGGCGTGGCTGCAGCCTGTGGTCGGCCGGTCTGCTCGCGGCACCGGCGGGACTTGCTCCGGCGTGTGGTTGTCTGCGGCTTACTCGGGTGAGATTCCTTCCTCCCCTACGGACTCAGGAACGGGCGCGACAGGCAGGGGTGGTTCCATGGTGAGGTGTTGGTGTGCCGGTGGGCTTGCCGGAGGTGGCTGTGGACTTCGAGTAGGGGGCAGGGGTTCCCCTCCGTTGCATCTGGCGGCTGCTCCGTGGCCGCCGGAGTTCCTCTGGCCCAGATCTGGCCGCCGAGGCCACCAACCCTGCCAAGGTTTCCGCTTTGGGGTGTAAAGTCTGCTCCTTTCCGGTCGGTCGTGTCGGTACTGTGTGTCCGTGGTCGAGGATGGGGCTCGGATGCTTGGGCGGCGGCCCTGCTGGTGGGAGCCGGGGTGCTTGTGGGCGTAGCACGCGGCTCGGGCGCTGTCCGGTCACCATGGCCGTGTGGGCGGCATGGAGGCCGGGGTGTGTCGTTCAATGGTGGTGGCGCGGCTGTCCGTACCCCAATTTGGTGACAGTGAGTGTTGGCCGGGGTGAAAACCCGCTCTGTCTTGTCAGGCCGGTGGTGGCGGCGTTCCAGCGTCGTTCCCTTCTTGAAGGCGTCGTCGCGGTATCTCGCTTGTAACCGTGGTGCTCCGGGGGAAACCCTAATCCTTAGATTGGGCGGTGGCGGCGATCCGGCGTCGTTCCCTTCTTCAAGGCACCGCCTTGGAGCCCATTATTCGTCATGCACGGCTTCTCCTCATCATGGTGATTCTTCCACGGTTGAGGGCTCCGACAACTTCAAAGTAGTGCTTAGGGTTTTATCCGTTGTTTGCTTGGAGTAGTTTGGGGTGATGTTGCTGTTTTCAGCGTCCTTGTATCTGTCTTGGGTGTGTGTGTTGTGTTGGTATGGGGTGTGTGTTTGTATCGACTTGCTCGGTGATTGTTACTTTATTTATAAAGCGGGGGAAACCCTTTTTCTCTAAATAGCAGGTACAAATCATGGCCAGCAGGTTTCTCAAGATGATGAACAGGTTTTGCGCGTGGCGGCGTACCCTTCTGAGGGGAGATGATGAGATTATGAGCACGGCATGCGAGCCTATACGGCCATCTCGCGTGGCGGCGTACCCATCTGAGGGGAGATGAGGAACCTATCCAGAGGGGTGAACAACCCACACAGCGGCATGCTCATAAATTTTGAGTGAATTTGGCCCAAAGTAAAAATTCCCACAAATTCACAGGTATCACCAATGGGCAATTCGCAAACAAGTCGGCAACGCAGTTTGCAATGACTCGGTGGAGTTGAGATCATGTTCATTGAGATCATGAGCACCACATGCTGCCTTTTATGGCCATGTTCATTGAGATGAGATCATTGACTCGGTGGAGTTGTCCGTAAGGATATTAAATCTTCATTTTGTTACGGCGTGCAGAAAATTACAGGTTATTTGGTGCACGGTAAAACTGCCCAGCATGATTATCTTTTGTCACTTTTTAATAAAATCACCCACGAGTTATTTAAGCACCGAACTTTGCCGATATGAAGAAGACTCGTGCTAGAGTGCTATATGGAAAATCTCAACTCCATTGATATGTGTTAGGTCTGACGTTGAGCGTAGGAATTGCGCACGCACGAAATATCCAACTTGCACCATGTCATCCATACATACGTGAAGGCTACGATGGCTAGGCTAGCTCTCATAGCATTCCTATCATATAGGATATGATGTCAAGTTTCTTCTCCAAGTATCTATACAAAGTCGATGAGGAGAATCAGCCCCCCAAGTCCTTTTCATCGAGCTTGTGGGCTGGCTGGCTGCACAACGATGCGGCCACATGCAGTTATACTTGGCAAGGTCATATATATTAACTATATGCTACAAATAATGTTTTTGAGCATTATTACACTTCCTCGCAATCAAACATCTAGTGGAATTTTTAGTCAATAAAGAGATATTGTACAAAAAGATATTGAGCGGTGAAGGTTGGCATAAGTAATGTTATAAGTCGTTGACCTGTTTATGCATTTGAAAAAAAATCTCGCCATACACATTTGGCTGAAAAAAAGTAATAACATTCCAATAAACAATTTAAGGCGGAAAATATGAGGGCAGCCCTCTCCCCTGCCCACTCGGCGAGGCGAAGCTCGGTTTGGTCAGGAAGTCAACCGTCAGACCTTGCCATGTCCCCTAGATGGTTTGCATCAACACCCCAGCTGTCAGTTTTTCCGTCAAACAACTCTAATCAACCGATCAACATTTTTTTGGAAACTGTCATCACTAAGATCGTGGGTTTTTGAAAAAAAAAATCTGAATGGTAGTGGTTTTCGGAATTAGGGTCCCCAATTATGTCGGTTTTTTGCAATTTACACCCATGTAAGCCCTCCCTTTTTCCATTCAAAAATAGGTTCAAAGCTTGGGAGGGGGGCATTGGCCCCCTCATATTAAGACATTGCTCTGCCTCTGCATCGCCTTCACCATGGCAATTGCGGCATCCTCCTCGGTGATCTCCATGAGGCCGGCACGGCCCGCCGCGTCGCCGCCGAGCATGGCCTTCATTACTACTTGAGGCTTAGATGGATTGAAGTGGAATGGCCTACATTACAACGCTAGGGTGGTGCTCCTTATATACTGGAGTGAACCGACTATGTGCTGAGATATTTTGTAGCTTGACGGGAGCACATATGTCATAGCCCACTACCTACACTAGTAAGCACGCTCCTAACTATTACCTTAGCTAGTAAGGTACACAACTACTGCTACTGCCGACCT